TATAAGACTTTTATTCTACTGCTCAAACATTTTTAGACATCGTCAAAAATTACAGTCTAAAGAAAACACCGCCGAATCAAAACTACCTGGTCAAAATTCTCCAGAAAATAATCAAAATGTGCGCACTCGGCACCTCAGAAACATATCAAAAGTTACGCGGTAAAAACTGAACCAATCAAAAAATACGGACGAAATTCGCTAACAAAAACGAAATCCGGACAGAAAAGTCGTTCAAACTTCACCGTTCTACAAATTTGAGAAAGGTAGAATGTGCTTTACCTTGCGTCGCCCAAAAATCCACTTTTCTTCTTTTGCCCTAGACCTTCTCTCTCCTCAAAATGATTTTAGATATTTATTTGATTTTCTCTCTCTTCAAAATGAGCTGATTTCAGCTAAATATTGTTCTGATCGGCCCGGCCGATCGCACGATCGTCCTGGACGATCTGAACAAAATCCAATCGGCCTGGGATGATTTCTCAGGACGATAATTAATTTTCTTGGATGATTGCTCTCTGACTTGTGCCATGCTCTGATCGTCCCGGGACGATCCCAGATCGGCCCGGACGATCCCTACAGGAAAACTTTCCTGTAACTTCTATACAGAATCTGGAACAACATTTGAACTAATCGTCCCGGGACGATCCACGATCGGCCCGGACGATAGGAGCAAAACTGATGTTACAATATCAACTTCCAAAAGAAGTTGAATGCACGTCACGGTCAAAGGGTGGAATTCCTTAAGGAGTACACTTATACCCTTAATATAAGGTGGGAATTGAGAATAAAGCTGCTGATGCTCTCAGTCGTCGTATGATGACTACTACTGAGATGAGAGCTGAAGTCGTGGGGTTTGACCAAATAAAGAGGGACTATTTGGAATGCCCCGACTTCAAGGAGACCTACTCTCTCTTATCCACAGGCAACACACGCCTTGTGGATGATTTCCTTCTGAAGGATGGTTATCTTTTCAAAGATCAAAAGCTTTGTATCCCTAGCATCTCCCTTAGGGAATTTCTTGTCTAGGAACTCCACGCTGGAGGCCTCGCTGGGCACTTCGGTAGGAAAAAAGCGATAGAAGCCGCGGAGTATCATTTTTATTGGCCAAGCCTGAAGAGAGATGTCAGTAAATTGGTTAGTAGGTGCCACACCTGCCAGCTGGCCAAACAACGCAAGAAAAACACTTGTTTGTACACTCCCCTTCCTGTCCCCAGTTGCCCTTGACAGGACATTAGCATGAATTTAATCTTAGGCCTGCCCAAAACTATCCTTAGGAATGACGCCATCTGTGTTGTAGTAGATCAATTTTTTAAAATGGCCCATTTCCTACCTTGCTCCAAAACATCCGACGCCTCCCCCATTGCCAAACTTTATTTCAACGAGGTCGTCTGCTTACATGGTTTATCCAAAACCATTGTATCGGATAGGGATGTTAAATTCACCAGCTATTTTTAGAAAAGCCTTTGGATGAAAATGGGCACTAAATTGCAATTTTCCACAATCTTTCATCCACAAATTGATGATAAAACCGAAATAGTCAATAGGAGCTTAGGCAATCTATTACGATCCCTAGTCGGCGAGCATAATAAGGATTTGGATTCCATTCTCTCTACCGCTGAGTTTGCCTATAAAAATTCTGTGAACCGAACCACTGGTCTAAGTCCTTCTGAAATTATTTACGGGTTCAAACGTAGACAACCACTAGACCTCATACCCACTTGCTATAGGTATAGGATTTCTAAGTCTTCATCATCATTTGCATCCCATATGCATGAACTTCATAAAGAAATTGCACAACAAATTGAAACGAGCAATAATGATTATAAACTGTATGCTGATCTTAAACGAAAATTTAAAACTTTTGAGGTTGGTGACTCCTTGATGCTGCAGATTCGTCTGAAACGGTTCCCACAGGGAACAATTAAGAAATTGCATGCCAAGAGTCTTGGACCATTCAAAATAATTAAGAAAATCAATGATAATGCTTATGTAGTAGATCTTCCTGCATAATTCAACATCAATCGCTCTTTTAACATAGAAGATCTATTTGCATATGAAGGTCCTGATTTCACCCACAAAATTCACTCATACAGCAGCCTTGTGTGACCCCACCATGTGAGACCCAAACCTACCTCCACTCTCAAATATTTCCAAATCACCCATGACAAAAAAGATGGACACGATTATGAGTGATGACATCATCTCCACAAGGGAAGGTGGACGACGGAGGTACTTGATCAGGTGGAGAGGCAAGCTTGCGTCAGAGGATACACGGCTGGATTGCGAGGCACTACAATAGATTGACCCCGACGCATTGAAGATCTACGAGAGCACCCGGGACGCTTACTCGACCGAGTCAAGCTTTCTCTCATCCCGAGAGAATGATGAGGACATCGGAGCTTGGAAAGTCTATCAGGGACGTGGCCGTCAATCTACGGCCATGACTGAGTCAATGTACTTCTGAGACGTATTATATTTTTTTCTTTATTAATTTATGTTGTATTTGTTTTATTAGTGTTTCTATTTTTACCCCTTACTTAAGGGATGTTGCATGTAAGCCCAGAGGACATCAACGTCTTTTTATTTTTTTTAGTCATTTATACGAGGTTATATATGACCTCTTGTTCTCTTTTCATATTAATGATTGAATGATAAAAAATTTTCCCATTGCTTGAGTTCTTTGTGAGATCTTCAGAGTGTTTGAAGAGAAAAATCCCTAGGAGAGGGAAATCGGATCACCCACCAACCTTGGAGACGGCCGGTTTCGGGTTTGTACTTTTCGGGTGATAGGAGCATGATAAAGTTCAAGGACATCAAGCATATGCGAATGTCGTATGGAAGTGCGGATAAGAATCAAGTGTGGGAACTAGGATGGAAGATCAAATTCGGATATGAGGGAATGGAGAATCAAGATCAAGCATTATGAGCTAGATAAAATGACGAGAGTGGATGTGAAAGGGGAGAGATTAATACGTGCGGAGTTTGGACCATAAAATGATGAGAGAGGATGTGAAAGGGGAGAGATTAATATGTGCGGAGTCTGGACCAGAGCTACGTTCGTATTCTATGAGTGTGTGCAACAAGAGAGCAGTGTCCACAGTAATTGCGTTTTTACTGCGTACACTCACAGAATCTAGACAGTTCTCACATCCGGACTCTGTACGAAATAATCTCTTGTGAAAGGGAGTGGTAAGCGGCTAAAGTTGGTATTAGCCAACTAAGATAAATATTTTGCTGTCGTATTCACTAGGGAACCCTCCTATGTATAATAATGGATTAAGTAAAATGTTCAAGGAAGTTAGAGCATAGCACTCACCATATAAACATAACTTCGGAAACAAGTTAATTTTTCTGCACCAACCAAAAAGGTTAATGATTAAAAAGAATTTAGAAGGTTGTTTTTTCATCCTGTTTGGTTGATGGATAAAAACAATGTATTCTTCCTGCTCATGAAACCACTAGTTAAAAAGCCAACAAGAAAGATACCACAATGGAATTAGTGCATTTGGGAAATGAAAGGCATGCAGAATCACGGTGACTAAAAGTCACTGCCTTGTCAACAGCCAGAATGTATGGCAGTAATGATAACTCTCAAAATTAGTAATACTACTATTAAATTTATACTTCATTGGTAAAATAGCAAGTTATCAATGTCTTGGAGTGAGTTGCTTATACCATGATGCTATACAAATTATATTTTCGTATAAGAGCATAAGATCTTTGTCAACAAGAGGGTATATGGGTAAATTTTATTTTCTGTTTAAGAGGGACAAGTAAGAAATAGAGCATAGCAATCAGCTATTGAAGCATATAGACAAACACCCCATCCGTAAAATAAATAATAAATAAATAAAAAATAACGGAGTTCTAAATGCTTTGAGATTCAAAGCATTATCATGCTACAATGATCATTTAATGAAAATTAGTTAAAATTTTCCCAAGCAAACCAACAGCTATTCAGTCAAAAATCTTGCTCAATTTTCAAGAGAAAAGTAAATTCAAGCATTAGACAAACCCTTCACCAGACAAAAAATAACAAATTCCAAAATTTAATGGGAGGTTGCAAGTACTACCATGCTAAAAAAGATCATTCAAGGATTATCGGTAAAACATATGTAAAAGGAAAAATATTTTCCCATTAAGCAAACCTCAACAAGCATTCTGCCAAGTTTCCTGCGTGATTGTTTTGTAGCAGTAGCTGTTTCTTCAGAATCTTTCAGTAACTGGACGCCAATCATTTGAGGAGGCTGTAATTTTTTATCTTTCTTGACCTTTGTTGCATCTTCTACTTGAGTCACTGTTTGTTCAACTTCATCTTCCTCTTCATCAATCTCATCATCTTCTGCTTCTTTCGTAGCATCCTCTGTAACATCACCATCACCTTCTTCATCTGTGTCATCAATTTCCGCATCTTCATCAACTTCATCTTCCTCATCATGAACTTCTTTCAAGCCCTCCCCAAGAAAACGATGTTTCCAGAACTCTGCATTGCCATCTTGAAGTTTAATTCGTGATACTAGTTCTTCCAAGTCTTCATCAACCTATTCAGAAATCAACAAATAAAACCTTTTCCAATATCCCAATGAAAGAGTTTATAGAAGAGACATATCAGGTTAATAAAACTAAATTACTCCAAAACAGCATTAGTTTCATTTTTTTACTATGAAAAGTGCTCTAAAATTAATAAACATGGGTAACATGAAAATTGTGTCACATGCCTCTTCTTCCTCCTCTTCAGCTGGGGGAACCCAAAGAGGGCGACCACGAGAACGATTAATTCTTCTTGCTTTTTGCACTCTTTGATAGAGAACTTGCCTAGTTCCATCAATAGGCAATTCTTGAGCTTCTAGTTCTTCTTTTAGTTCTGAAACTATCATCTTACTAGCAGCTTTGGGCTTTAAAATATTTCTATCAGGGCCTTTGATGATTTTTCTCAACTTGTCTACCACCCTAAGATAATCTGTATCAGAGACCACCCCTAAAGCTGTAGGCCCTTCATTCTTCAATGTCATCAGAAGTTTTCGATGGTAGATTTTTGATTCTTCAAGGCAACGCTGCTTGAAGGAATTTTCCATAGGGTTGGAATAAGCAAAACCAAAGGCATCGGGGTCCAAAGGGGTTTTTCCTCTGCGTGGGACCCACCGCTTGCGTTCTCCAGTGAGCCCCCCTTCAGCTATATACCTTTAATTAAGAGGCATGTACTTTAGAGGAGAAATAGATGAATGTGAGAATACAGATGTACATTAATGAACCAAAATATATCTAGAAACAAATTGCTACCAAGAGTTGCATACAACAACTCAAAAAAAAAAATCTTGAAAAATAGGGCTGTTTCAAATAAAATCTTGAAGTATTGAGGTAAATAAATTTAATTAATAATATTCAAGATATGAAAAGTTGAAAGTTTTCTAGATTTTGAAATATTAGCCGATGCATATAGCTTTTGTCTTAAGGATATTAGTAAATCAAATTCTTTGATATTTGAAATTTGTAAATTGTTCAATGATAATTAATAAAAAAATATGTTATTGGAATAGTGAGATTCTCATAACTGAACTGAAACGGGTATTGAGAGACTATATAACAAAACTCTTATGTTGGAAGGAACTAATGCTCTAAAAAAATTAAAGCGAATAATTTCTGATATTTTTATAGACATCACATGATTCTATTTTTATTTTATACAGTTTCTTGACTATTCATTCAATTACAAATGTTTGAAGGTTATTATATTCATTATGGTACATGATCAAAGTTATCCATTAAAGTGACAAAATAATATTAATATTAATATATGTTATGTGAAACGTGTATGTGGATTTAAAAATATGAAAAGAAGTAGAAAGCACAATTTGAAAATGTATATATATATATATATATATATACTATATATATATAATATATATATATATTATATATATATAATATATATTATTCAAAAGAATAATAAGACAATCATATGATTGAAATGAAACAAATGTAAATAAGAAAAGAAAAAGGTTTATGCATGCAAATTTTAAATGTTCACCCCCGTATAATACTGGCTAGAGAAACAACATACCCGTGCACGTTAAATGGAAATGAAAAATATTTGTATCTTTATTTGTATATTTAAACGGTGCTCCTGTACTTATAGAAATGAAAATGGACAAAATGAAATACAATGAGAAGTAATTTATCATTAAGAAGACAAATATATATATAAATATATATATTATATATATATATATATATGGCAAAAGAAAGCCAAATGAATGTGTCATTTATACATGTAAAATTGTTATATTATAAGTATAATTTGCTCACTGAGTTTTACTTTGTAGAATCACTCTATTAAACTAACCATTTTTCAGATAAGTCTCTTGAGAAGTAGAAAAACTGAAAGAGAGGAATATGTGTACAGAAGAATGATGTCTTAAATGAAATCAAGTAGTATAGTTCATGTAAATGAAGCATATGTAAAAATTATACTAGTATTTTGATGAAATTTATGTCAATGGCTTTTAGTTTTTATTAGAATGTAGATGATAACTGTGTTTTAAATTAAAGAACCTATTATAAAATGTCCGATTGTTTGTTCCCTAGCCTCATTAGTTTTAAGTACCTGAGCCGAGTCGCAACAAAAGTGGCATCAATGCTCAAATTAGGAAATGAATCATTCTGAAAGAGCCATTAGGTTGATTATGAAGTTAAATTGATAAAAAATATGAATTTACAAGAAATTTTTAATTTGTATTTCAGGACTCAAAATGATCCTGAAGATGATGTGGATAGAGCAATGTCTAGTATTGTTGTTAACCCAAATGCAATAAGAGAAATGATTGACAATAATGACTCAACTAATTCATGACTTAAGAAATCAACCATCAAAAAGTAGGTCAGTGGCAATAGTCTGCCTATAGATAAATATTTAAAAGCGTTTCAGGATTTGAGACATCATTATTTAAAGGGGTAATATGGACGCAATTGAGACAAACAATTGGTTGTTGCGCATTGAGAAGTTTTTAGAGTGACTATTCTGTTCAGGGAGAGAAATTCTTCTTGATGAACTTCGATTTTAAGTCTTTTGTTCAAGGTTTGCACTTAGTTCATTTATGTCCAGTTCAAATCCACGGCTATCTTGTTAGAGTTCAAATCAAGTACAGTCTCGTGTTCACCCGAAGTTTCGACAGCCTCCCGGCGTCTCCCCGTTTAGAGGAAAACTACGAGAAAATGGGCCTTCCCACCACGCACAATAAAGACGAGGAACACGCGACCGTGATCTTTATTCCCACCACACGCAATAAAGGCATGTATGGGGTCTTTGACGGTTTGATGTTTAAAGAAATAGTTTTGTTTCCCCGCTTGTGGGTATTTATAAATAACCTTGACTCGCCGTAGGCGCCGCGTAGGGGTCCCATTTCACCAACGCGCAATAAATGCATGTATAGGCAATTTTTCGGTGCGCCACAACTTTGAAATGGGGTTATTTGGTGATTACCTGCCCGTCGTAGGTGTCGCACAAGGGTCCCATCCCACCATGCGCAATAAAAAAGTCTTAATCGACAGTTTTTCCGTCTGCGCAAACAAAGAAAATAAGTTCTCGCAGTTTTAAGGTTAAGGGCTTAACCTGGCGGGAATTGACACGTGGATCGAGGCGAGAGAGAAAAAAAAGCTTATAATCTAATTATAAATTTTTTATAATTAATTATATCTGATTTATAATCAGTCATATTTAATCCATAACTAATTACAAATTAATTATATCATAATTTATAATTAATTATAATATTAATTATGATAATTATATTTAATTATAATTAATTATATTTTACTTAAATTTAATTGTAAATAAACTATTTTAATTTGTAATTAATAATAAATAACTATAATTAATGTAATTAATTATATTTAATTTAAAATTAAATTATGAATCAAAATAATTAACTAATTATAATTGATTTTATTTAATCATAACTAATTATTGTTAAGTGTTAACAATAACTAAATATAATTAAATTAATAAAATGAAGACTAAGATATAATATAAGAAGGATTTATATGGGATTTGAATTAAATCTCGTCAGCCCATCAAACAAGATTTAGGGAACAGTAAAATCTTACTGTTAACTAAATCTTCCTCATCCTCTTTCGGCTCAAGCATATTTAGGGGATTTAGCCAATGAAGCGGGCGAGATGGTGCAAGTTACCATCACAGTCAGCCCACTCCCGTCCTTGCTTTAAATCAAAATGTCATGACTTTCGCTTCGACAGGGGGCAACGTTGGAGGAGGAGAGAAGTCGCCCAATAACGAAGAGAGGTAGGGATCTCTCTCTCTCTCTCTCTCTCTCTCTCTCTCTCTCTCTCTCCGGCTGAAGGAATCGAGAGGATCGGCAAGGCTAGGGCTTAGTTTGGTTGAGTCTTGCAGCACAGAGATGTAGGAGGGGAAGCTTGGCTTCGGGTTTGCGATATGGAGAGGGGAAGAGCTGTGGGATTTGCTTGTGGAAGTGTCGTGGGGTATGCCGGAGTTTGGGCTTCGTATCCGTGGAAGAGAGGTAGCGAATGGGGGGATTTCCATCTCATTTTAAAGATGCGATCCGGGATGCAATCGAGGCCAATTTTCACGCAGGAAGTGGATAGAAATGACAGGAGCGGCACCGATTCAGCGGGATTCGTGGATCCGACGGCATACAAGGTATCTTTGCCTACTTTTTTTTTGTTCTTTATCTAGAGGTTAACAAATGCCCCTAACAAATGTGGTACGCGCTTATAGCGAATCACGTTTGTTGTATGTTGATTGACCTTATGGATCTCCAGTTATTTGCTCTTGATGTCACACATAGGCCTATTTAGCGGATCTCTAATAGCTTGATTGGATGTCATGCTAAGATTTTAATTCTGTAGATCTCCAAGAGTCCATCTTGTTGCCTTCATGGATCTTTTAGATGCATATGTAATCTTCAATATAGTTGATATATTTGCTCTTGGTCAAGTAGAGATCCACGGGGTAGTGATAATGTACTTTGTACTTAGGTCTCTAGAGCATCACTCTATAGAATAACGTTAGTTGATAGCACCGTCGTCACTTGTTCTCTTTAATCACCACGATCACTTTAGTTTATAACATTTCTATGTATGCTCAACATTCTTCTTTCATCTGGTTGTGTCTCGGCAAAGTTTTAAAAATTTATTTGGACATCTCGTCACGCTGCGCGAAGTCGACCAAATAAATATTTAAAATGCCCTAGCCTTTAATGACACTTGTAGATATCATTCGGGTTGCTTCTTTTCGTTGCTTTAGACTGAGTCATGAGATTCTAGTTCTTTCTGTCCTGTGCTTTGTTTCCTGTCCTGTGGGGGTTCTGCTACTACGGTCGTTCTTATAGCGTATTGAGTAGACAGAGCTGCCAGGGATCCTGCCATATTTGGGCTTGTTGGATCCAGCCTTTACACCCATTCGAACCTTAAGCTTCAGGCTGTTGAAAGACTTCAAACTTTTCTGGCTCAATTTGTTCGAGTGTGTAGTTACAAAAGTCTCTTTCTTGACTTTTGAACCTTGGTACATTGGAAAAAATAGTGTCTTGAACTATTTAAAGATCATCTGCATATACTTTGAAAACAAATCATTGTATTCTTCAACATAAGAAAATATTTGTGTCGATAATTTTAAATATTTATTCAGGGATCTCGGAACGCAGCGCAATGTCGACCCGAATAAATATTTAAAATGCCCCTATCCTACAGTGACATTTAAAAGTAGAATAAATTTAAGATTTTGATATTTTAAATATTCATTTGGGGATCTCGACGTGTACCACGATGTCGATCCAAATGAATATTTAAAATGCCTCCTGTCTCTCCTGTCTTGTAGGGACATTTTGGATAGGTTTTTTATCTTTAAGATCTTAAATATTTATTTATGGATCTCGACACATTGCGCGATGTTGACCAGAATAATATTTAAAATGCCCTAAGTCTGACGGGATTTTGAAATGCATTCTTGTTATACAAGATAATTTCAAAATATAGATGTAAGTATGCATTGATAAATGTGCATGCAATATTTTGATCATTATAAAGTATATTAGACATGAAACTTTCATGCATGATACTTCTTTAAATGTCGACCGTTGATAGGCGGCATAGGCCTTTGACCATTCAGATCGATCTACTGATAAGTTACTCCTTGGTATACCTTCTCG